AATATGAAAAATATTAAAACTCTTCAGAGTGGAAAAACAAGTTCAGTTACTTTCTTGTGCAATGAGCTAACTTGTTATGTGTAGAAACTTTGATATCACTGTATGATGGTTTTGTTCATTGTATGTTGGAAACAAAAGTTATTTTACTATGAAAATTATGTATATTTTTTATTAGTTTTTCAGATGCTGAAATATTAAAATGCATAATTGTGATAAAATTTTAAATTAATGCTAGAGTATTTTAATTATCTCGGGCGTGAAATCAACAAATTTGGGGAAACCTAGCACTTGGACCTACTGTTGTTTATAACACATTCTTGATATCACATGCACAAGTAGTGATTTCAAGAATACTTCAAAATCTTCTAAATGCTAACAGCATAAATTGGCAGTTATTAAATAGTTTAAAATATGTGTCATGGAAGACAAAGTTTAAAGCATCACTTAGAATGTGAATTAGTACATGTGTAGAGATTGAAGTGTTTTCATTAGGATTGAGTAGAGAGTATTACACTATTCTTATTTATGAGAATAAAAATAATTTTCATTGTACGTAAAGTGATGCCAACTATAACGACAAAGAATAGTTTGTCAACTGAAACATACAGAAAAACTAGATTGATTTGAATAAGCATATTTGTTACTGACAAAATTTGTTACAATCTGTAAGTAATATTGGTGATTTTTTTTCCAAAATATGTGAAACTGTAGAACAAAGGCTTTGTTGCTCAGTGTACTATTACTGAGAATTTATTTTGTTAAATTTTGCACTATTTTATAAATGTAAAAGTCTTACTGATGATAAAATTTCTGTAAGTGATGTCAATGGAAAACAAGATGTTAAGAAATAATAATAGAAATTAGAAGAAGGTAATCCTGACTAAAAGATTTGTATTAATGTTTGTTTATAATTTGTTGGTTTTAAAAGCATTCACTGATGCATTCATCTGTATGTTTTTTTTTTGTAATTGTAATATAATAAATTTCACTGTGAGTTATAAACTACATTATACATACCAGCTAAAACAGTATTGTTTTGATAGACTGAGTTCTGTCTGTCTTTTAGTTTTAAATAAAGTATAATAAGAAACTTTGATTACTAAAACAAAAATTAACCCTTACTGATGATGCATAGAAAATGCTCTGGTACGTTGGTTCCCAACCTTTTTCTCTTTATGAACCTGTTGAGTAATAATAGTTTTTGCAGCAATCCCTTTTTTTTAAGCAGTAATAAATTTTGTAAAATTAGAATTACTTTGATCATGTTGAATTTATTGAAAAGAAAAAGTTTCTGTGTCACATAATATGTAACACATTTGCAATAAAATCTGAATCTCTGATATTGTCATCAGTTTGTAGTTAGTACCCATTAAAATTGAAATATAATTCTTAAAAAATAAAAATTTAAAACAAATCTATTTAAGTAAAACTAATGAGACTTCTGAGCTGTTTTGAAGAACATAGTGCTTTAAAGTTCGGCTCAACAGAAGAGAGTCTTAAATCTGGCTCTGCATCAAACTATTTCCTTCCATAAATATTTTAGTAAGCTAGAAGATAATTAAGATATTGGTAAGAACTGTAGAATCAGGAAAGTGAAAAAGATGCCATTACCAAATTTTTCTCATGAACCTCTCAAACCCTTATTTGTTCATGAACCACCAGACGGGAAGTGCTGCTCTAATATAATTATTTAGGTAGTAATTTTGTTGAATGTTTTGTTTTAGAAACATTATAAAATACACAGAAGTGATTTAGTATCACTGAAAAACTCCTGAATTGCATTTGTGATGAGACATTTTGTTTAATAAAATATAAATGTTCTTATGTAGTTTTGGAAAGCACTCAGTTTCACAGTATCTCTACAATTAAAAAAATATAATAATTTTTTTGAGTTTTAATGTAATAGAGAAAATCTCTTTTTCTTTAAAATTTCTACTTTTACTTTGAACAAAACAAAGTATGTGTTCAGTTAATGGACAACACTGTTTATTTTAATAATAAAATACAGGGGTTTAATACCAAAAACTAGGACCTAGTTGCAGTATATATCCAAACCACTTTCATGTACTCTGCTGTTTTGAGGTTTTTTTGGAAGTAATTTCATACTTAATAGATAGCAGTCCAATAAAGGCTATTTTCTAATTATTTTAAATATTTACAGCTTTAAGCCTCCTACATAATCTAATTTTTTAGCTTCACAGTGTTATTACAATAGGTATCATTGTCACATACACAGCAACTCTTTATTTGCATATATTCCATTTTCTTTCTTTTTTTAAATCAAAAACTTGAACAAAACTAACTAGATCTAAATAATAAGAAGAGTGATAAAAATTATAATTTGATTCTTCTTATTGAATGCTTCTAATGAGTGTATATAAAGGGATTTTACGTTAAAAGCTGTGACAAAAAGTAAATAAGCAAAACAAATATGGATGCCAAGCACCATTTTCCTGGTTATAAAACTGAAAAGTACTGCAGTGTTGAGAGCTGGCAAACTTATGAAGATGCAAGAACCATTTAATTTAGTATGAAGTGGTGGTTGTACATTATTTGAAGACACACATGGAACAAATTGACTGTTTTGTATTGTGACAAGTGTGGTACAGGCTATATATTGTGTACTGCATGGGATATTTATACGTGAAGTATAAGCATATATGTAATGCCTATACATATATATGTACGGTATAGCACCTCTGTTCTTTAAAATACGGGTTTGAAATGGCCTGCAACAGCCTAACTTTTAACTGCATAAAATATCTTTGAGTCTATCATAAGTGGTAATTTGGTAAATTTCACCACCAAGGACCCCCCATGTTTTTTGAAAGATTCTATCTACCCAACAAACTGGTTTTCTTACTAATAATTAACTTGTTTTTCCATTTTTCACTATCAAATAAAAGACATATATGACTGAGGGTGCAATTAAAAAAACAGCAGAATTAAAAAACTTACTTGTTTAATGAGATGGTATTATTTTCGTGGACCACCAGGGGTCCAGGAACCACTGGTTTAGACCGTGGCTTTACATAGAAACAAATTACACCAGACTCCAATGTGATATACTTGATATATATGTGATATATTTTCCTTGCAGAATGGTAATTATTCAAGCCTAGGGTGATGCTTTATCTAAACTGATCCTACCTACTTTAGTTTAAGGATCTTGTAGAAAGGATGGCCCACAGCCTTCCTGCAGTTGAAAAGTCACCAAGAATATCCAGTTACAAGATCCTATGTTTTATTTTCAATTCTTCATTTCTGATCAGATCGTTCTAAATGATTCCTAAAGCAATATAACTTTTTACTAAAATCACTTTAAGACTACTCGGAGTATAACATATCACAGATCATTTGACACACTCTTAAAACCTTCGCTGTAAGATAGTTATTTTACCTTTGATTGTTCCTGACTAAATCATATTAAGGCAGTGATAATAAAGACTTCACTATGATTTTGTGTCAAGACATATTTTGATAAGTCAGTGTATAAGCAGAGCAGTCTGTGCAATGTAATTGGCATGCAACATTAGGTATTTCTGGAAGATGTACGAGATTCTTAATCTGTTCAAGGAAGTCTAGTGGCATTTTGTATGGTTTGAATTCTACTCTGATTTCGAGAGATTTGATAGTTATTTTGATTGATTCAGATATCACTTATACATTTGAAGTTATTAAATACAAAAAGTTGTTTCCTTGCAATTTTTCACCTTAAATTGGTTTATTTTAAAATATATGAAGTAAGTTTGATGGGGTATTAGTTTGACTGAGGGTTGATCTTATAGCTACACAAGAGAACTTGCATCTGGGCAAAATCTAGTAGTATTTCATGTAGAATTTGAAAGACTGTCTAGTACATTCCAAATTACAGATTGAAGTGTTTTTATTTGCACAGATTAACGGAACTTGTCCATGTGGATGAACTATCTGCCTCACATGCGATTATATCACCAACTTGTCGACTACCTCCAGTTCTACCTCTACTTTACACGTAAAAGGCCAATTCACCTGACACCAGAGTGCATTATTTATTGCATTCACTGTACTAGATGTAAACAACTCTATATTGGGGAAACTATACGCAGATTAGGTGACAGATTTCGTGAACATCTCCGACTTGTACGTAACTGCATCCTCGTCCACCCAGTTCACAAACACTTCAACTACCTGAATCACAACGGAATTGACGACATGAGAGTACTCGTTTTATAACATGCTCCCACAACAAGAATGATCGCGAAAGGCTAAAATATAAACTTATATTTCAACTAAATTATCTCGCACCACACGGAATTAATGAACGTTTTTCTTTTAAGTGATTACAGTTTCCTTTAATATCACTTTGCCACCCCGTTAAATCGAAACCTCCTACTCATATTTTCCTGATCATCATTATTATTAATATATTACTATTTTATCATTCTTCGAATTTATGTTTATTATTTTTCTGTGTCCTTTTAATTTATAAAATCCAATTTCTATCACTTTAATACTTGTATTCCGTTATAAAACTGTTTATGGAACTGCTTCAACAGTGTTCCTTCTAACAATATTTTGTTAACATGCTCAACGCAGTACGTACGTAATTTAGAATCCCTTTATAAGAATAACCCTTCAACGATTCTGTCTAAGCCTTTTTTTACTAAGTAACACGGTTTAAACTGCCTGACGAAGGTCTTCTGCGCAAAAAGTTCCAAATAATAATAAAGTTTTTGTTATAGCCGTATGTTTTACCAATTTTGAACACTTTTTTCAATTACTTTATGTGTATTTTGTTTCATTGTATATTTTTTGCACTTGTTTTATAACACCAACTATGATGTATTTTTATTTATAATTGATATTGTGCTTTGAATTGTTTAACTTGGCGCATACTTTATTTAGATTCTTCATTTAGCTCGTTTTGTTTTATCATGTCTTTTAGGGCTATTTCTTAATTTAACAGATGAAGATTATATTTTCGATATCGACTGATTATCTTATAGTTCCCCTAGCGTGTTGTGAGTCTAACATTTGGAAAGTGTTGTGATCAGTTCTGCGAACGCGTTTCTCACTTGGTAAAACTTGTAATGAAGATCTGCATATTTTAAGATTAAACTAAGTTCTGTTAAAAAAATAATTTTTAAAGTTCATGAATAAACCAGTTTTTTATTATCAGTTATAGTTTCTTTTTTAATTCCTGATTATTAGACTTAATTAATAGGCTGATGTATATACGTAGTTAATGGCTGAATCACGTCCTACGGAAACGGTACATGAAACAGTGACTGTCGAACAGTTTGTTGATGACAAGCACAATGAAGATGTGAGTTTATTTTTTATTTCAATAATTTACCTGTCTTAAAATGATATTCTGAATTGAAGGGTGTTTAGGTAATATTGCCACTGGTAACCTGATGAAAGGCTGATGCCCGAAACGTCGTTTTCTTGTTTTATTAATAGTTATTTTAATTTGGTGAGTTTTACCACTACTTTATATTCTATTTTGCATTTTGTTATTTCCTCGCCTATGCCATTATTTTATTTCTTGGGTAGATGTAATTTTATGTTTTAGTTTCATGGGTTTTATTTGGCTACATGCTGTAGTTTCCCATGTTTGTGACCTATGGTAACTGAAGACATGCTGTCTGTAAGTATTGTTGAGGGTACATTAATGTATTAATGGGTTTTGTGGAACGTGAATAATACATGCCTGTGAGAAAAAGTATAACCTCAAAACTAGAGTAATAATACTAAGGCTCTATGGACTCTCTCTGGGAAAAATTGGAAAAAGCTAATAAAGTAGCATTTACCATTGACTGTTGGACAGCACTAAATACTGAAAACTACATGACAATCACTTGTCATTACATCAAAATCTGAAAGGTTTGATCCAATATTTTACAAAGTATGCCAGAATGACATGCAGCAGAAAACCTTGCTGACCAGTTAAACACCGTAGTAGAGAGATTGGGTTTGGAAGGCAGTGTCTTAACATGTATGCATGATAATGTAAGCAACATCATGAATGCCAACATGACACAACATGTTACATGGGAATCTGTAAATTGATTAGCACATTATTTGCAACTAGCTGTAAATGATGGGTTTTCTGACAGTTACGGTTGTGTTTGTTGTGCACACGATTGACACATGTTTTCTTCATAAAAATAATCAGTTGAATCACAATGCAGTTTTTTTGTTCTTTTGTTTCTTTTTATAACTTCAATGAGAATTTGAAATGAAATTTTTAAAATCAATTTTTTTTCTATTGTAAGTGGTCATCATTCTGCTACAGCATAGTGACTGCTAACTGATTGAGCCATATTTATTCACAGTGTGGTAGGTAGCATGCATGGCCATTAAGAACATGCAGTGAATTTAATGCAGTTGATTTGTTCAATAAAACACAGCAACAGTTAAGCTAATCAAATGCTAATTAAAACAGTAACATTTTCATATTTGTGAAATATCACAAAAGTGCATGGCCACCTTCCTCCTGCTTTACAATGGCTCCTGTCAGTCGGAGACAGAACCAGCTGAGCAACATGCATATGCACAGAAGTATCAGTAGAGCCATTTTCATTGTATGTAATCACTTTATTTCTGTATTATGTTTATCTTTATTTTGGTATTTGGTTGTTTGTTATTTTGTGAATCAGGGATTATTTTGGTGTATTGTATAAATTTCCTGTAGTCACTTGTTTTAATGTTGTACTAAAGATAAAAAATCTTTTAATATTTCTTGAAATGATGAGAGGGCAGGCTTTAGCAGATGCAGATTGAAGCAAATTTTGATCAGTACTGTACTGATCATGGCAAAAACTATCTGGCACACACTGCTCATAATTGAAAAAAAAAAATGATTAGCTACATTTGATGAAAAGTTAGAAGCCATCAGAATTCCTATATATTGTTTATAAATATTATGACCAAATTCAATGTAATTATTGAATATACAGTAAGTGAAAATATTCTTGCATTTCTCCTCATTTAAAAGTCAATGGAAAATTTTACAGTTATCATTCAAATAATGATTAAAAAAGAAAATAAAATACTTTAATATGATCTTTAAGGGTATTTTAGTGATAAGAATAGTAAAATCAAAAGAATTAAGCAGAAAAGTGTTCATAATATGTAAATTATTAAGGCAGTCTAGAACCTTTTTATTATTGTTAATGATCCAATAACCTTTTTTAGAAGAATTATCTATATTGATTTTAACAGAAAGAGATACCAGTACATAAAAAGGCAATAAACATTTTAGAATGTTAATGGAACAAAATGTGTTAGAAATGTTTCATTATTTAGGATGTAACTGCGTAGACTGTAAAAATTCTTTAATAGTCAAAATTTGCTTGAAAATTTTTGTAATGGACAGAAAATATTTCATCGAGTTTTCTTCTTGGATAAAAATACTGTCAAGCATCAAATTTGTTTTTCCCCACAGGAGGGTCAGGTGGTCAGACTTAAACTTAAGAAACCCAAGCCGGACAAAAAGGTGTCGTGGAGAAGTGATACAGTGGACAATGAGCATTTAAACAAAAAGAAGTCTAAATGTTAGTATTATTTTCTTGTAAAATGTTATGTGCATGCACAGATTAATAGAAAATAAAGAGGGAGACTGAAAATTATAAAGTAAGAATGTGTGTGTGAACCTGTAATTGTATAACTCGTGTGTCCAATGGTTATTTGAATGTATTAGATGTTTATTTCTTGAGGTAGGAATTACATGTAAAAGAACTTTAATATTGGCTGAATAAAGTTTACATTTTCTTGTATATTAAATGATAATAAAACTTTATCATTAGATTTATTAATGCTTTGAAGTACAAATTTGGCAGTATTTTAAAATATGTTATCCCAGCTTAGGAAATTTGCTAAATTGGCTGAAAGAATTTAAAAGCATATATATGTATCTTTAATAATATCGAAGAAACAAAGTTACCTAAATAAGATGTGAAAAGAACAGCAAAGCACATCAGTAATTAAAAATAGTTTTAAAATAAATTATACTATATAACAAACAAGAAAGTATTCTGTATTTAGTTTAGATTTATTGTAAGTTTGTAGGCATATGCTAAGCCTATAAACATAAATATTTATCAAATGGATAACAGTACACATATTTAACTGTTGTACCCAAATGTTTCTTAAATACTAAATCTCAAAAATTACCAAAAAAAAGCACTAAATAAACACCCAGTATTTTCAATAGTGTTAACATACAGTATAATTTTTAAACAATGTACCTCAGACTAACACATAGATGCTACAGGCACAAAGTATTCAATTTTTTGAAATGTGCAATATGCTAGAAAATGATATTGAATGTGCACATTTAATGAAAAATGAGTTTTTAAAAACAGTTGTTAAAGCAAGGAATGCCTCAGTACTGAGAGTATGGCACAGAAATCAGTACGATTATAACATTTTCATATTTGGAACATTGGCTTTAAAAGTTGACATAGATTAAGGAATCACCACTGATCTTACTATAATGTCACACCAAAATCTAGTTTAAAACACTGATTTAAAGATGATGATAATATGGCTCATTTAATTTTTTTTATACTAGCAGTCCTTACCCAGCATTGCCCAGGTATCACCTGAACAGAGGTCCGATATTTAGCTATATTTAAACAGAAAGGATCAAAATTTCGCTTTTCATGTAACAGTACATGCCAAAAGGTCATATTTCTGTTAGATAAATGGCTTAAGAGCATAAAAATTTAATAAAATAAATGAAATCACAGATTTATTGTAAAGTTCACATACACACCCCCTAACAGTCATTGCATTGCCTCTGGTTAAATGAAATTTTTGGTTTATTGTGGAATCTCACTGTCACTTTTGCATATATTTTGCTGATTGTGATTGGCATTCAGAATTGTTTTTTTTTTCTTTACATTTTACTCAGAGGTACATAATCAGTGTCAAAAACATTTATCATACCTAACTCCCCTCTCCTTTCCGAAACTAAAATGGACAAAAACCAGTTTATTTTTGCAGAAATTTTTGGGTTCAACTTGTCTATTCTATGAAATAGTTAGTCTTGTTTGTCAGTAAACATGACAGCATTTGATGGATTTTTATTCTGACACCACATCTGTAAAATACAAAAAACATTTCTGATGTTATTTCCACTTAAATGAGACCAAAAATCTGGCCCGTTTTCTGTGGAAAAAATTAGATTTAAAAGTTTTCATTGACACTAAAAATTTGACGTCACAGACACTAAACCAGAGTAAGCTTAGTCCATATCGTTATAGGCCTACTATTAAAGGGGCTGAAAGATGTGAACAAACAGACACAAACTTAAACTCGAAGAAAGTTTTGCATCATTCTTATCTCCTTCAATTTTTTTTCAAACATGGTCATATTTGTTTTTCCCTACATGAGTAATAGTTAGAGTTTTTATCAATTTGAAAATCAGAAATTTAACACTTTTATGCATGTTTTTTTTAAACTTGTTACAAAACTGTCATTGTTCTACATTACTGGTGGAAATGATAAATAAATTGTGACACTTTTATGCTTGGTTTCTTTTTTTAAAAAAATGTAGAATAACAGGTTTTGTAACAACAAGTTTGTGAAAACCGTTGTATGGAATAGAACCTAAACTCTTGTTCAGCCCTCAATTTAACAATCACTCTCAGCTAGCCAAACTACTCAACTTACACAAATATGATATCTTTGTGGTTTTGATGTAAAATTATACTTTTAATTTTACAATGTATTATTTGAAGTATGAAATGTTCCTTTATTTTTCTTTACATAATACGTATAATTGTAATCTCCTGATGTCTGTTACATTGAAGCAATTGATTTATATTCTATATTCATCATAATTCCATGTATTTAATATCAGATGTCAGTTATTGTTATGACTGTTGCCTAGATACCTATTTGAAACAGTTTTATTGCCCAGTACATTGTTGCCCAATGAAGGCTCTGGTAAGAGAGCCAAAAGCTTGCAACTAAAAAGTATTTTAACGTAGAGAAAAGTCCGTGTATAATAAAAATAATACCTAGGTCTACATTCTCAAAATTCCCTTAGTATCTTTGCAAAGTTTCAGGTCTTTAGGTTCTTTCCTTTTTGAGCTGTGGTACTGACTGGCACACAAACACACGGGCTATTTTGTTAGTATAGATTGAATTTAGCGAGTTCTAAACACTGTTAAAGCTTGATGCACGTGGTTTGCAGAGGAATTTCCTGTGAGATATGTATGTGTCCTGTAATAATGATCTAACTATGCAGGTGTAAAGCAGTTTGGTTTTACCAAGTGACTGTGTCATTTTGTCTGCAAGGATTCTTTGTACCTAGAGATATAATCAGTCTGTAAATCTGTTTATTGATCAGTTACTTGTCCTGACTACTTTTCCGTTAAATCTTGGACTGTTTCTTTATATATTGTTTTTAATTTCTATATATTTTGTTGAAATAGACTAAGTTGTTACCATAAATCTGGTGTTCTCAAACTGTGGGTTGTGGCTCCCAGGTGGTCATGAACAGTAAGTTGTATGACAGTTTTTCATATTCTTTTAGCTTCAGAATAAACTGTATATAAAGAACTGTAGTATGTGAATTCACAGTTTTTCAGGTTCACGAACGGGAGTCCTAAAAATTTGAGAACACCTGACCTATAAGCTGCAGATTCCTTATGATTATCAGTTAAAAATGATGTATTATGAGATATGTTTTTTTTTTACATTTCATATAACAGCTTATTGATTTTTTTTTGAAGTTGTTGATGTGTTGTTAGTTAACAGGGTTGAAAATATAAAATGTATCTGAGTACACACTGTAATCCAGAAGACAAATGTAATTTATTTTAGTATTAATGTTTTTATTTAGATGTAATCATTTCTTTCCTTCTTAGAATTTTCTATAGGTGTAGAATTAAATTTCTGGAAAAATGTGTCAGATTATTGACATATCTGCAGGATGAGTATGTGAACATGTACACATCACAATTTTTAGTCACGGCATAACGGCTTCGTAGAATGGCTCTGAATTTTTTTCATTTACAAACTTTTAGCTCGTCTCACATTCTTCCCTTTTTTCTGTTTGTTTGTATTTTTGTTAACAAACAATAATAATAAAAAATGTTAATTGTGGTAAGCGAAATAATAATTTGATCTAAGTAAGAGGTTTTTTCTTCCAGATTTGTATAAAATCCTTACATGATAAAAATATATATATATATATATATATTATTTTCAAAATCTACATAGCTGAATTATGGAAAATCCGTTATTAAAACCAGAACCACTTCTATGAAGTTTAAATTTACAGGCCTGTGTAATTGTTCATGAAGAACTGAATTAAAGTGAAACTATTTTTGATCTTTTTTTGGCTGGCATGTTAAAATTTCCAGACTTACAGGAAAATTCTAACATTGAAATGTCATTTAGATACTGTTGAAAAAAATTATAATGTGATGGACTGGTATAGTTTAGTGCATGCCAGATCTAAGTATGTATGAAAATATCATTAATATGACCATGGTATTCTAATCCATATTTGAGCCAAGCCACAAGGTAGAGGCAAGGCTTCTGACAAGTTTGTTTGTTGTGTTTGTGTGTTATTTTGGATAATAATACAGGCTGATACTGTCATGTTATCAAAACTTTTACCTGGCTTTGGGGCTGGATGATCATTTACATGTTTATCCCATAGTATAAAAGGATACATTTATTATAAAATGTTTGTTACACAGACAGCTTTAGTCTGGTTGTTCCCAGTCTTTCCGATTGACAGGTGAAATCCATCAATTATGTAGATCTTTGTCTTTTGGAAAATGATAGAAAGCAAGACTAGGCTTTTGTCCCTGTCTATTGCTACATTCAACAGCACAACAAGCAATCACCATGATGGTACCTGATGAAGCCAAGGCACTAAGACACACAAGACAAGTAAAATTCACATTGCTAAGCCCGGAGTAAACACATTGTGGCTCAATATCCACAATGGCTAAGACTCCAGGTTTCCCAGCTCGTGATGTCATGTGGAAAACCTCAATAAGGATTGGTTAAAATATTCTACATAAAAAGGTGATTGGTTGAGAATTACCTAAATGTATAGTTTGTTTCCAAAATCCCTAAAGGACTAGATATAGAATGTAATGTTTAAAAAAAAAAAGGCATAATACTTTATATAAATAGTGTTCCAACCACTACTGTGTTTGTTGTATCCCAGCAAGCCTGATAAACCTGGATTAAGTGAAACATGTCATCAGCAATGTATTTGACAAATACAGTGTGGTTGGAATACTATTATCATACATTTATAATTCTTGAAATTCCCAAAGATGGTAGATATAAGAGTCAGAGATCTGAAAAACAACAACAACTTGGGACAAGTAACTGATCAATAAATAGATTCACAGAAATATCTATGTAGAATAACTGACCGATAATATTTCTGGTTTTAGTTTGTTAATCTTCCTCCTTGTCATGACCTATGTATTTTGAGTTCAACATGGCTGGATAAAAGGAAAACAAAAGCTGGAAAATATCATCATGCACTATTCTTCAGCTACTGAATGATGATGATTCCTATAAAGTGTCTTCATAATGCTGTTTACCTTCTTTAAGAAAGGGATCATCTCAGATATAATTGGTTTATCAAGTTATAACTTTACATTTGTTATAAGCAATTTACATATTTTGTTAAGTGCTTCTTCATTTGAGTCACATGGCTGATGTGGAAACAACAACACTAGAATCACCCAGGGAGGATATGATTATCTATCTTCATTGTGTGACTTGGCTGATTACAGACCTGGAGACTGATTGTAGAGCAGGAAGGTTTTGTTGACATCAACTAACACCACTGCACATTCAACATGATGTAGAAGACAGAAGTTATGCAAAGTCATTGTGCAAGTGTTTTAAGATTTTTATTAACTGCAGCTTCATGTGAAAACAATTGAAAGGTATTCAGTAAAGTAAAAGTTAAGTTGCCTCCGAACAGACTGAACACTTACACCTTTTACTCTGCACTGTATCTTTGTCAGATGAGGATCTGAACTGTGGCAACATAGAAAAGTTAATACTGTGGATTGAGACTAAAAAATAGAGTCTGACAGCTGTGACTACAATCACTAGTTGGGTTAGAGACAGTATAAATCAGAAAATAAAAAATAGTGAGGATGAAGTTGATGACTTAAAATGATACTATAGAAAAAATGGTGATTCAGTGACTGTTAATGGAATAAACTCTAGAAAGACAAATTATACTACTATTATTATGTCTTGTAACTTTATGTCAACCAAATTTCCTTAATAAGAGTCACCACTAGCAAATAAATTTTTAACATTTCTGACATTATTTTTTATTAGTAGATTTCTAGGTATTTATCTTTTAAATATTCAATAAAAAAATTAAAATTTGAAAAGAAAAAGTTGCACAGGTTTTATGTATGTATTTAGCATACTACTTACTGTTTAAAACAAAGTGATTTTTATGTAAAATGTTCTGTACATTCTTTAAAAATTAATATTGACAAATTTCTTATTTTATATGACAGTGAGAATTCATTTTTCTACATGATGGTATGATGATTTTTAAGTAATCCACCATATTAGGCTGTGTAACACTGATTTTAATGTAATGCTCAAAATGGAAAATTTAAAACGTTATACGAGTGAAAATGATAAATCTCCCATTTTGACTGTTTTTAAACTTTTACTTACATTAACAAGTATACAGATAGTTAAAGCCATTCTTTATTGTTTTACCAAAAGTCAAGACATTAGGTTATTACTTTTTGCTTTAATTTGTTTTCAAACATCTAATGTGTTTGTAAACAAAATAAGTAAAATATTTTCATTAGAATAATCATGAATTATATACGTGTATTTTTATAATAAATGTTATGTTATTGTATTTTTATAATAAATGTTATGTTATTGTATTTTTATAATAAATGTTATGTTATTGTATTTTTTAGTTGTATGTGATTGTTAATTTAAATAGCTATGAATTAGAAAAAAAATTACTTTTGACTTTTATTGGTATGGTCTTTTTGCAAAACAGAATTTTACAACTCTACCACTGAAAGTGCATTGTTTTTCCCTTTGGTTTTAATTTCAAGAATATTTTGTTTTGCACAGGCTGCTGTATTTATAAAAAGCCACAAAAATTTGGGGAGAGTTCTTCAGAATCTGATGATGATGAATGCCAGCATTGCAGGGGACATGTAGAATTAAAGAAGAAACAAGTTCCAACATCCTCAGGAACAGAAGGTGTTGTACTCGGTTATGTGTTTGAAAACTTTCTTCATGTTATTCTAGAAAAATTATGTTAGCCCTTCCTGTGGAATTTTTACAGAACAAAGAATCATAGAGATAAAAAACATTTGGCCTAAAGCATAATATAAATAAAAGAGCACACCAACTAAAAATGTTTAAAATGAAGAGCCAACATTTCAAGAGCTTATGAGCTCTCAACATAAAGGTTAATACAATATAATTACTAAAGCTTAAAAAGCCATTACGTTGTAACTTGTCACTGACAATATTTCCAAAATTGTTTTAGTATATTGTAAAAACTGTTTTATTTAAAGTTTGATTTTGTAGAGATATCAAATCTTTTAAAATCATTATTTATATCGTAGAATTAGCTTCCTATGGATAAAATATCAAATTACATGGAGGCCAACTGTAAGATTACAGAATCTGATTTGTAACAGGTTTTGTTTTTGAGTAATGAACTATTGAATAAATAGTATGGATTTAAAATACCAGGAATATGCAGTCATTACGTTTTACATAGGTTGCGAACTAGAGGAATTTTACATGAGAATCAAAGAAACAAAGCTGGAATTCATGAAACTAAAATGTATTTTATTAAACTTTTACTATTGTAATATTTCTAATCCTAACAATGGAAATTACAGTCTTTCCATTATTACCATAGTTTTATAATATAAATAAATGGACACTTCTTACATCATTACTAGATTTTCTTAACTAATAAAAATATTACCTACAGTATAACTCAACCTTGGCCCATAATGAAGGTATGTTGCTGACTAACTTGTGGTTTACTCTGGACTCTTGTTTAGCTACGCATGTTATACTATATTTTCTGAGTTTGATTCCTTTGTGCATCTGCCTGTGAGGTTTGGATACCACTAGCCTTGAGCTATCTCCAACCTAAAAATGTGTTTAACATCAACTGTGCTAGTCATCATCGTACAATGATAATCCTCCATCAGTAGGAGAGTGACACAACCTTCTTGTGCAGTAGCTCCCCCTTGTACTCGAATTAACTTCATTCTTTTTCTTGCCATTGTCTAGAATGAACGTGTTCCAAAATTTTTAATCAGATACTTGAGATATGCAATAGTTTACAAGACAGTTAATATTTGTCAAGTTTACCTAGTTAATGTTTGTGTTTCACATATCCAGCAAGCTTTCTTTAAGTTTACGTAGTAAAAAACATTTGGTAAATACCCGCTATTATGAATTCTCAAGTGACAATAACTTCCACCTTATCCTGTGGTAGTGATGATGTTCTTAACATGGGACTTGTGGCTACTTAAGGCTTGTTGTCTGTGGAGGATGTGTCACTCATTGTTCAACATCTTGTGAGTTCCTTCATGCTTACTGGGTCTCCTCCTCCTTTCCATTTGGCCAATGTTCCTTCTCCCCATTTGAGCATGATTAGGATGCCAATACTTTTTACTGGATATTTCTCTTACCAGCATTTGCTCTAGGCATAATTTTATCTATGGAGGAAAACCCTCACCCTTTTAATATCTTCCTTGATGTGATTTTACAGATATGTTCTTTCTTTCTTTTTCCCTTGTGTCTTTTGATTCCTTCTGTATGAAACCCATACTCAAGATTACTTTGTATTCCCTTCTTTGCCTGATATTAGGGTCTCTGTGGACTCATTTCTGGAACAACTGCTCACCAGTACCCACATGCCATGTACTCCTCATCAACTGGAGTCTGTTGTCCTGGCTTACAGCCACTCTTCATTTCTGTTTCTTGATTCCCTGTCTTGGGAATCTCTTCTATCTGCTTTGGGGTGGGCCCCTTAACTTCTGTTTCTCTTTCTAGTTCCCAATTTTGATGCTTTCATTTCTTTCTAAATTCTTACCACCCTCCTGCATTACATCTTGTCACTTCACCTTATTTCTGAGGCACTTCATCAATCTTCAGAGGGGCTTTCTGGAGAACTTTGTTCTCTTTTCACCTCATTGGCCCTTACTACTACTTCTGCTCTATACCTTCATAATGGGTTCCTCTGCTGTTGGGATAGGATGATCTCCTTACTAATGTACACTTCCCTCATTCATATCTCTGTGATCTTTGTTTAGCTCCTTTTCTTTACCTGGAGGACTTCAGGAGTGTTCTTGACTCACTAGAGACCCAGGCTGAGGTAGCATGACATTAGTCCATTGTTTAAATTGGTTTCTTGTCTTTCTCAACCTTACACTCCTGTTTCTGTTCCTAGGCTTGCTGAATCCATGTCTCCCCTCCCATTCCAACTTCCCAGCCTCCTCCTTCTTCCGATCCTCCCACCTCCAAATGTCATGGTCATCATTCATCTTGTTGATGACTACCCTATCAGGTCTGGCATCTGGTTATCAAGCCGTTGTTTTCAGACTGGTTTCTTGTCATCCCTTGGTTCCATGTGGAAGGTTTTTTCTTGCCATTGATTCTTTTCACCTAGTCTGTGGAAGACCAGGGCTTACATTTTGGATGCCTTTTTACACACTTTGATTTCCCCATCCTCCATCTGGCTCAAGTCTTCCAATTCAATGATCTTCCTTTTGACATTGCATCTGCTCCTTATGTCTTCAGTCAAGTCATAGGGACATTTACCTGCCATGCTCATGGATTAGGGCTGAGGTTCCATTATTACATGGATAATTGGCTTCTCCTCACCCCTTCTAGAAAGGACTCATCTCACACTTGCATTGTTCTGCAAGAGTCTGCTTGTCTGGATTGGCTTGTTAAACCTTCTAAGTCTTTTCTCATGCCTACTCAATATTTGGTACACCTGACTGTGCCAATACCACAGTGTGGCATCCCTTTTCCACTGCATCCCCCAAGACCGGAACTCCATCTCTTCACAGAAACTTTTGTTATGCTAGGGCTGTTTTCTGAACAACAACATAACTATGGGTATGTGGGCTCTGGAGAAGTATTCATTCCACATCAACAAACTCTAACTTCTCACTGCCCATAAAGCAAGTTCCCATTTCTACACTCTTCTCGTTGATCAGTTGGTTACAATCCACTCTGACAGTTTCATAGTTGTGTTTTATATCAACATTCAGGTGGGTATCCATTCCAGGACTCTTTGCTTCTGTGCATTGGGCATGCTGTTTTGGGTTCATTCCTATCAAGCCCAACTTGTGGCTTGTCATGTGCCAGGGACTCTGAACTTGGTGGCAGATTGCTTCTCTCAGCCAGACAGGATTCTACCCATAGAGTGGTTTCTTCACCCTTAGGTTTTTTGTTGAGTTTACTTTGAATTGGGCATATCTTTTATCGATGCCTTTGTAGTTTTCATGGTATCAAACTTCCTCTCTTCTGGTCCCCTGTTTCTCATCCTTTGGCTCTGGCAGTTGAAGCTATTAGGTTGGACTGGTCTCCCCTTTTCTGAATGCCTACCCTCCTCTTTGTCTTCTCCCTCATATTCTTGCTTTGATATGTGTGACACTATTTGTCTGGTTTTGCTGGTGGTACCTCTTTGGCCAGCACCACTTTGGTTTCCTATGCTTTGTCCATTGGCATCCAGACCCCATTCCCTCTATCTGTTGCTCCAACTACACATTTCTTTTTCACCCAGGAATATTATCTCGGTTTCATGGGTGAGGTTTGTCTAGTTCATTGCCTGCATGGCTGGTCTCTTATCCATTTCTTGTCATCCTTAAACTCTGTCCATCTGTCAACATCCACCACTCCCTTTGGGTTGTCCTACTGTGGCTCACCTTTTGGCCTTTTTTCACATGATTGTTTGACCATAGATTGTTTCTTTCTACCATTGCTTGTTATTGGGCAGCTTTATCAACTAAATTTTGACTTTCCCATTACCACCAAGTTTTTTTCTTCACCTGTCCTCTCCACTTTGTTCAGATCCTTCTTTCTTCACTGAACCCTTCCTCCTAATTCTATGCTTGATTGGGACCTTAATATGGTTTAAAGAACGAATGATCACTTTCATGAGTAGCCGAAGCCTTAGGAAGAAAGATCTTGTGGGGGTAAGAAAGTAAGTAAATATGGTGAAAGAGTGAGAAAGAACGATCACTTTCATGAGTAGCCGAAGCCTTAGGAAGAAAGATCTTGTGGGGGTAAGAAAGTAAGTAAATATGGTGAAAGAGTGTATGGGAAGCATCAATGGCACACACAGACATCCAAATGACAATGATCCAGATGAGAATGAGAAATGTCTTCAAAAAAAGGTGATATAAGGAACACGAAGCCAATAGTTTGAACAAAGCATGTCCTTTCCTATTTCTCACCTCTATGCTCATTTGGATCTGGATTGTCTTTGTGTCTGGTTTGGGCTGTTCATACATCTTGATTTCAGGGTTTCCATCATCATCTGTTTCTACCTTCGGGGTTGTCTTCATTCAGTGACCTCTTACTTTCTACCCTTACAGGATGGGTTTGCCAACTCCTCTGGTTGGAAAATCCTTCCTTCAATATTGTTACTTGCAGGCTATTTCACATTTTATCCCATCAGACTTTTTACCTGTCTTACTCTCTTGCATTTCACTTTAGCTGGTCATTGAACAAGATCCTTCAAACAGGTATTTTGACAACTCAGCGCATGTTCCTCTGTCATTATTTTCATCATCTGGCTGATTCTTCTCTCATGGGATTTAAACTCTCCGATTGCTGTTCTTCAATCTACACACCGTGTTTGAGGAGAGTAAGTACATTTTTTTCCCTTTTATAGGATCCTGCCAGATGACTGGTGTTACTTCCCAGGGTATGTTTATTTCATAAAATTTGCATTAGCCCAAGGGTAATGAAAAACACTGAACCCATTTGCCCTGGCTCTACCAGTGTCCACTATCATGTACAAAAGCCAGCACCAGCGAAGTGACTGCTCACTTCTTTGGCTCGAATTTGCCAGCTTTTAAAAATAGGGTTTCATGTTGACCCCTTGCACTGTCTCCAGAAAGGACCTTTCCAGCAGGTATCCAATAGGAATCCAGACACTTCTCCAGGCCTTGCCCCAACGTGAATTCTCTTCTCCATTCTTCAAGTTGAGGACGGGAGACTCTTGCCACTTACCTTTTCCTAGCCACTGGAGGGTAGACCTTGGAGAGTTCTTAACTGATTGTGTACAGCACAATGTGGTGCGAAGAAAGATGGTGGTGGCACTGTCTGTGTAGTGTGGGGGCCCCCCTCAAACATCCATCTTCTTCTGCTCTATCCCTTCATAATCGCCCCGGCATGGCCAGGTGGTTAGGGTACTCGATTCCCAATCTGAGGGTCGTGGGTTCG